CCTTTTTTTTTTGAGCTGGATTCTCATTCTGTGGCCCAGGCTGGAGTGCAGTGGCGTGATCTCAGCTCACTACAACCTCCGCCTCCTGGGATCAAGAAATTCTCCTGCCTTAGCCTCCCAAGTAGCTGGCATTACAGGCGCCCACCGCCATACTTGGCTAATTTTTGTATTTTTAGTACAGACAGGTTTTCACCATGTTGACCAGGCTGGTCTAGGACTCCTGACCTCAGGTGATCCGCCTGTCTCGACCTCCCAAAGTGTTGGGATTACAGGCATGAGCCCCTGCACCAGGCTTGTTTTGCAATTTTATTCATCGTCCATCAATTCCCAATTGCCTGTCCTTGGCCACCCTCACAACTGCCACATCCATGTGCCCCCTCTGCTATTGTCTATGTAATATTTAAATTTTTCATTAAGAAGAAAATTGATAAAATCCCAGGTTTGATATCTCTCTTTCTCTCTCTCCTTTTAAATGATCACAAGGTACTCATTTGGGCTTAGAACGTGGGCTCTGGCATTTGATTGCCTTGGTTGGAGTCCCAGCTCTGCCACTGTAGCACAATGCAGTTGGTCTCCACCCAGGTGTCCGTGGCACTTACCATTCAAGAGTACACCAGCCTCACTTCCAAGTGCTGGCACTGTCACTTTGCTTGAGGTCTTGTTCCGACTATCAGAGTCCATAGTGCCCCCCACAAAAAGGTTAGACATACTGGGGAATTACTTCCACTCCTCCTCCATCCCCAAGCAGCCCTCATCCAATGGCTGTTGGGAATTGGTAGACAAATATTCCTGCTCCCTTGCCCCTCAGGTACAGTAGCTGCCAGGCACGCACTTTTATTTATTTATTTTTATTTATTTATTTATTTTGAGACGGAATTTCACTCTTGTTGCTCAGGCTGGAGCGCAGTGTCACAATCTCTCTCAGCTCACCACAACCTCCACCCTCTGAGTTCAAGCGGTTCTCCTGCCTCACCCTCCTAAGTAGCTGGGATTACAGGCGCACACCACCATGCCCAGCTAATTTTTGTATTTTTAGAACAGATGGGGTTTCACCATGTTGGCCAGTCTAGTCTCGAACTCCTGAACTCAGGAGGCATGCACTTTTGATTGTTTTCCAGTTACAAGGCAGGATTGAGCTCCATTTGTCCACCATGGTTAACGGTAATGCAGTCTCTACTGGCCTCAAACTCCCAGCTGGTCTCAAACTCCTGAGCTCAGGCAATCCTCCCGCCTTGGCCTCCCAATGTGCTGGGATTACAAGTGTGAGCCACTGCGCCCAGTCAAAACGGAGGCTTCTCATCTCTGACCCGTGTCTAGACTGTCCCAGGGCTTCTGAAAGCCTGCCCGGCTCGTGGAAGGCACATGATAAGGCATCTGATTGATAATGATCACAGTTATCTTTTTTGACCACCTACTATGAGCCTGGGACGGTTGAAGGTGCTTTTCTCATATTAAACCTCTCATTCACCATATGAAACGGGAGTTGTTACCATCCCCCTTTTGCCAATGAGAAGCCTAGGATGGAAAAGTTAAGTAACCTGCCCAGGATCATACAAACACACAGTGGGCAAATAGCAGAGCTGGGCATCAACCAAGTCCAGAGCTCACTTATTGAGTATGCTAACCCAATGCCAGTGCTATCTCCTGCCTAGAATGAGGAATCCTTGCCAGCTGACAGCCAAACACAGCCCTCTCTTTGCAGGTATACTGCTGTAGCAAGTTACCCTTCCACAACTGGGGCCCTGTGTGCCCCTCACTCTTATCTGTGGAACAGGAAACACAAGCAGAAT